CATATATTGTTGGAAAGGTATCTGTGTCTACTACAACTTTGTAGTTTATGTTCAGACTTGAATTTACCTCCATAATGCTCAAAACAATGAGTTTATATAGCTGGTCCTGTGCAAAAACGGGATTTGCATACTGTTTTCAAAAATTTCATATAAAATAGGTTTTTGTTCCAAACGAAATGAATCCAAATCGACTGGAATCCTAAGTATTCGGCCTACAACTTTTGTTTAGACATTAACACCTGAATGTTTCTCTAAGTATGAGAAAAATGATCGAAGTCAAGTTGGTTCAAAGCTGTCTGGTGCAGGGGATTTAATAGCTTTACTTTTGCTTGTACTTTGTGCTTTGAGGATTGTAATATMYGTAGATCTTGTATCAATCAGTCACAAACATGTGTAATTTATTCAGGACCAATCTTAGAATAAGAAAGGGGCATTAACAAGGGGATAGAAGCTACGTGTTTACTTCTTCGATTGTCGTCTAAGGTACGGATACCCGATTCTTGTGACTTTCTTTAATCACTAATTCATTATAGAGCCAATATTGTATCTCATTACCATCTCGGCATCTATCACTTGTATATAATTATAGTTTCATATTTTGTGAGATTATCCCTTTTTACATTGAATTGATATGTTTTTTTTGTGATTTGAGCACTTTGTGCTTTAAGGCATGACATCGAAGGCAATGATGTCATGACGCCTCCATGGCGGCTATAAATTGTCATGGCGTCCTCGCTATTATACCCCAATGTCAATAAGTGGGTCTGGCCTGGTACTGGCTAATTTGAGGGCGAATGGATCGATCATAAGAACCGTTATCGGGAGCCGTATTCGGGAACCATTTTCGGGAGCCGATTATCAKAAAGGAATTGAGTGTATTGCCCTACACTCATTTTCCATTGTTCGAGTGGTCCGTACAACCCTCGAACCCAATTGATTTTCTTATTTAATTTTCAATTCTTGATTTGACGATATTATTTTAAATTATTTCAGTATGGACATTTCATGTCAATTATTAATTGATCCCTTCATGTTCTGGTTTTCGGATTCCWTATAATTATTATCTTTTATTAACTCGATTTATACTTGCAATCTTGCTATTTTAATTATCCGTTCACTGAGCATTTGGCTCAGCCGAGGTTTGTTTTGTCCTCGGCAGATACATGATCATAGGTGGGACTATCACGAGACTGAGAGCGATGGAATATGACTATTTTGAAGACGACCTTGGATAATATAGTAGTTTTTGTTTATGTATGTATATTGTAACTATATCCATGTTGTCTTAACTTTTAGTGTACCACGTTCTTTTCATGGATGTTCTTAGTAACTCTGGTTATCTTGTATATATATATTAGCTATTTATCTTGTTATGTTTTCCTCCGTAACACACCATCTTCCGGCCATGCGAGACAAGGGTGTTACATAGATTATTAAAATAGAATAATTATAAATATTAAATGTAATTATTTCCAATATTTTAATTTTAAAAATACTCTATTTAATAAAAATATAATATAATTATTGAAATGTTTTTTAAACACTCTGTAAGAGGGTTGTAAATGAACCGAGAGCGAACCGTTCGTGAACCGTTCGGTGGAAGTTCGTTTATTTAATAAATGAAAGGACATGAACAATTTTTTTTGTTCGTTTAGTTAAACGAATGAACAAGAACAAGAGTCTCGTTCGTTCATTTATGTTCGTGAACGTTCGTTCATTTATGTTCGTGAACGTTCGTTCATTTATATACTAAATTTAATATATTATCTTTTGTTTATTTAATTTGAATTCAAATAATATTTATGTATGTTCGTTTAGCCCATTCGTTTATGTTCATTTAGCATGTTAACGAACGAACATAAACGAACACGAACACGAACACGAACACACCTGATTTCTAAACGAATGAATAAGAACACACAAATTTTCGTTCGTTTACTATTCGTATTCGTTCGTTTACTATTCGTATTCGTTCGTTTACCATTCGTGTTCGTTCGTTTGTTCGATTAAATTAAACGAACGAACATAAACAAATCTCCATTGGTATTCGTTCTGTTAATTTACAGCCCCACTCTCATATATCATTAAAAAAGATAAAAAAAATATCTATTTGTGATGTCTATCCGACCTTGATTGGGCAAAGCACGTGACTGCGAATGCGACCCACATTGCACATGCTACTCGCTTGGATTGTTCCATTCCCGCAGCACATATCCTTTATTTGTTTTAAAAGTAAATGCTTTCTACAGTATATTCAATAGATATTTAGGTGGTGATTTTTTAATTCTTAATAATTTTATTAAAAAATAGTTTTTATGTTATTAAGAGATGGATTTTATAGTTTTTATGTTATTAAGAGATGGATTTTATTTGATAAAAGAAAAATCTATCTTTAGATGGTTTTAAAATTCTTTAAATGATTTTGTATCATGAGTTTTACTGAACTATTCAACGCCCTAATTTTATTATAAACAATTACCTAACAATCATATTTCATTTTACAGTATATTATAAGAGTCTCTTAATTATTCTAAAACACTTAATCATTTTGCACTAAACCATTCAGAAACTGTCAAACGATTCATTAATTCTATTTAGTTATGTTCTATTTAATCCTTTTTTTTAGTTTTATCTAGTTTAGTTTTATTTAGGGAGTGTTTGGGATTGCTTATTTGAAACAATGTGTTTTTTTTACAAAAATGTTTATCAACTTATTATAAGTTAGAATGATTTAACTTATTCAAAAACTCCTTATTACTGGTTTGACACCGGTATAAGTTGTTTATCCAAACACTTAAAATTGCTCATTACCAGTGTCACACAAAAATAAGTCAATAAGTTATTTTTATAAGCAATCTCAAACATTTCATAATTGGGTACAATTATATATTAATATCTAATATTATATATGAATATAGATATTAAAATAAATAACTGTAAATGTATTTTCTTTTTTGTTTTCCAAAGAAATAAACAATAAAAAAAAATAGAAAATGAGATATAATTAAAGCCTAAGACTAAGAGTTTGCCAATCCATTGTATGGGCCCTCGATAGATCCATAAGTATTTAATGGAATACGATGTGATCGTGATTCGATTGCGACAAGTTTCTTAACTGGCTATATTTAATTATATTTTTTATTTAATTTTTGTATAATTAAATAAACGACAACGTTTTTTATATAATAAATGCAACAAAATGAGTAGTTTAGGACGTTAAACTATTATTTGGACTTCTAATAGAGTAATTAATGAACCTCCTCTGCTACTTATACAATTGTTCGACAACCAAGTTAAAGACTGACTTAAGCAGCTTTATATATAGAAGTTGGATAATCTGGTAGAACACAAGAGATAGAAATCATTTAATTAAGATTTTTATATGCACCTAATCTGTTATACAAAATAAAATAAATCAGTTTTTAAAATTATCATATAAAAATATCAATATCCCGAGTTATTGTCGTCCTATTTTTGTCAATGGATTTGTCACAATATATATATATATATATATATATATATATATATATATATATCTATCTATCAAA